AGCCCAGTGTCCCCACTACCGTACCCCGATGACGTCATGTGACAGTGATGTAACGCGAAGGTCGGAGAGCGCAATGTGGTGACATCATTTCTGACACGAATGGTCGCAGCCATATTGGTACACCCAGTACACCCATATCAGCACATGTGATTGGTGCCGTGTTTGATCTGTTCCCATGTGAGTGCGCATTTGTCTCTACAATAAATGGGATTCATTTACAATATTCCACTATGGAAGGACTTCTTCTTGTCTCCCTGGCAGTTCTGTGCGCTGGCTGTTGTTTCTGGTCCAATAGACCCCCGGCGGTTCTGTGCGCCGGGTGTTATTTCTGGTCCAATGGACCCCTGGCGGATCTGTTCTGCGCCGGCTGTTGTTTCTGGTCCAATGGACCCCTGGCTGTTCTGTGCGCTGGCTGTGTTTTTTCTGGTCCAATGGACCCCGGCTGTTCTGTGCGCCGGCTGTTGTTTCTGGTCCAATGGACCATGGCGGTTCTGTGCGCCGCTGTTGTTTTCTGGTCCAATGGACCCCCGGCTGTTCTGTGCGCTGCCTGTTGTTTCTGGTCCAATGGACCCCAGGCTGTTCTGTGTGCCGCCTGTTGTTTCTGGTCCAATGGACCCCCGGCGGTTCTGTGCGCCCGGGCGGTTTGTCTGGCTGTGTTTTCTGGTCCAATGGACCCCAGCTGTTCTGTGTGCCGCCTGTTGTTTCTGGTCCAATGGACCCCGGGCGGTTCTGTGCGCTGGCTGTGTTTTCTGGTCCAATGGACCCTGGCTGTTCTGTGTGCCGCCTGTTGTTTCTGGTCCAATGGATCCCGGGCAGTTTCTGTGCGCTGGCTGTTGTTTCTGGTCCAATGGACCCCCGGCAGTGCTGTGCGCTGGCTGTTGTTTCTGGTCCAATGGACCCCCGGGCAGTGCTGTGCGCTGGCTGTTGTTTCTGGTCCAATGGACCCTGGCTGTTCTGTGCGCTGGCTGTTGTTTCTGGTCCAATGGACCCCGGGCAGTTCTGTGCGCTGCCTGTTGTTTCTGGTCCAATGGACCCCCGGCTGTTCTGTGCGCCGCCTGTTGTTTCTGGTCCAATGGACCCCGGCAGTTCTGTGCGCCGGCTGTTGTTTCTGGTCCAATGGACCCTGGCGGTTCTGTGCGCCGGCTGTTGTTTCTGGTCCAATGGACCCCCGGCTGTTCTGTGTGCCGCCTGTTGTTTCTGGTCCAATGGACCCCGGCTGTTCTGTGCGCTGGCTGTGTTTTCTGGTCCAATGGACCCTGGCTGTTCTGTGTGCCGCCTGTTGTTTTCTGGTCCAATGGATCCCGGGCAGTTCTGTGCGCTGGCTGTTGTTTCTGGTCCAATCCTGTGCGCTGGCGTTGTTGTTTCTGGTCCAATGGACCCCGGGCAGTTCTGTGCGCTGCCTGTTGTTTCTGGTCCAAAGGTGAAAGATCTATCACCACCTCTGAGCAGTATGGTCCACCAGTGGGGGATATCATCCCGACATCACTGTTGGGGATTCCACTTAAAGGGCCCCTGCAGGGAGTGTCCTGACAGCCTTTTGGCCCCTTGGGGTCGGGGCGCGCGAGGTGAGGAGGCAATGTAGCCGGTGTGGGATCCAACAATCATTTACCTGTCCACGTCGGGGGTTTGTTGGACGTTTTTGCACATTAACTTTATGTCGTATTTACCATTTTCTTAGTCACGTTATTTATTTCTTTATTGTGTTATTGTATTTTACGGCCCTCAGTAATACAGTCACGTGGTGTCGCTGTGCGTTTTACGTCCCTCAGTAATACAGTCACGTGGTGTCGCTGTGCGTTTTACGTCCCTCAGTAATACAGTCACGTGGTGTCGCTGTGCGTTTTACGTCCCTCAGTAATACAGTCACGTGGTGTCGCTGTGCGTGGTTTGTGCGTTTTACGTTTTCAGTAATACAGTCCCGCTGTGCGTTTTACGTCCCTCAGTAATAATACAGTCACGTGGTGTCGCTGTGCGTTTTTACGTCCCTCAGTAATAGTCACGTGGTGTCGCTGTGCGTTTTACGTCCCTCAGTAATACAGTCACGTGGTGTCACGCTGTCGCTGCGTTTTACGTCCCTCAGTAATAGTCACGTGGTGTCGCTGTGCGTTTTACGTCCCTCAGTAATACAGTCACGTGGTGTCGCTGTGCGTTTTACGTCCCTCAGTAATACAGTCACGTGGTGTCGCTGTGCGTTTTTACGTCCCTCAGTAATTAAGTCACGTGGTGTCGCTGTGCGTTTTACGTCCCTCAGTAATAGTCACGTGGTGTCGCTGTGCGTTTTACGTCCCTCAGTAATACAGTCACGTGGTGTCGCTGTGCGTTTTACGTCCCTCAGTAATACAGTCACGTGGTGTCGCTGTGCGTTTTACGTCCCTCAGTAATACAGTCACGTGGTGTCGCTGTGCGTTTTACGTCCCTCAGTAATACAGTCACGTGGTGTCGCTGTGCGTTTTACGTCACGTGGTGTCGCTGTGCGTTTTACGTCCCTCAGTAATAGTGTGTCGCTGTGCGTTTTACGTCCCTCAGTAATACAGTTCACGTGGTCGCTGTGCGTTTTACGTCCCCTCAGTAATACAGTCACGTGGTGTCGCTGTGCGTTTTACGTCCCTCAGTAATACAGTCACGTGGTGTCGCTGTGCGTTTTACGTCCCTCAGTAATACAGTCACGTGGTGTCGCTGTGCGTTTTACGTCCCTCAGTAATACAGTCACGTGGTGTCGCTGTGCGTTTTAACGTCCCTCAGTAATACAGTCACGTGGTGTCGCTGTGCGTTTTACGTCCCTCAGTAATACAGTCACGTGGTGTCGCTGTGCGTTTTACGTCCCTCAGTAATACAGTCACGTGGTGTCACTGTGCGTTTTTACCTCCCTCAGTAATACAGTCACGTGGTGTCGCTGTGCGTTTATATATGCCATTTTCTGTGTTATACTAGTTGCACTCTATATATGTTTGTCACCTTTATTGATGGTATTTCTATGGTCACTTATTGGTCGGTTTATGTCACATGGCCTGTTGATGCACATTGTGGTATGATCCTTTAGTCGCACGGTCACAGTGTTCGGCCGCGCTGTGCATTGTACTCACGGTATGTCATGTATGTTGTGACGGACTCCTGTGTGCCGCTATTACTGGGATTTACTTCATACTTGACTTCTCCCGGATCATTTTGCCCGCGCTCACGGATTGTCTGTTACACCTTTTGGTCGTCATTTTGGACCTTTATGATTCCGCCTTTCCCTTCTCTCCCGTATTCCTTCCATGTACTGATGATGTTCCGGGGGATCGTCTGTCGTCTTCTCACCTCATGATTGATCTTGGAATGTCTGCGGCGTTATTGTGATCAGCGACTTCCATGTTCTGATGATGTTCCGGGGGATCGTCTGTCGTCTTCTCACCTCATGATTGGTCCTGGAATGTCGCGCGCGTTATTGTGATCAGCGACTTCCAAGTACTGATGATGTTCCGGGGGATTGTCTGTCGTCTTCTCACCTCATGATTGGTCCTGGAATGTCGCGGCGTTATTGTGATCAGCGACTTCCAAGTACTGATGATGTTCCAGGGGATCGTCTGTCGTCTTCTCACCTCATGATTGGTCTTGGAATGTCTGCTGCGTTATTGTGATCAGCGACTTCCATGTTCTGATGATGTTCCGGGGGATCGTCTGTCGTCTTCTCACCTCATGATTGGTCTTGGAATGTCTGCCGCGTTATTGTGATCAGCGACTTCCATGTTCTGATGATGTTCCGGGGGATTGTCTGTCGTCTTCTCACCTCATGATTGGTCTTGGAATGTCTGCTGCGTTATTGTGATCAGCGACTTCCATGTTCTGATGATGTTCCGGGGGATCGTCTGTCGTCTTCTCACCTCATGATTGGTCCTGGAATGTCTGCCGCGTTATTGTGATCAGCGACTTCCATGTTCTGTTTGTTGCACTTATATTGCTTCTGTCAACAAAACTTTGATTTTTCAACTGTTAAAAAATTGAAAAACTGTCGTTTTTCAACAGACAAAAAAAATAACTTAATTTTTTCAACTGTCATTTTATTGCCACTGTCAAAAATAAGTGTGCCAAGCATGCAGCCAGTGAAGGCGGAACACTCGGACCTCCTGCATGCTTGTTCCTGGTCAGTGACACACTAGGGAGTGAAGTGAGGTTTAGGATGAAGATGACGGCCCCAGAACCTGCAGCTTTCTCCACAAATCACTCCTGTTTCCTGCCCTTCCTCCTATTGGCTGAGTATTGCACCAATCACCAATCAGATCATCCCTCTTGTGATGTCTCTGGGGGCGGGTCCCCCACTTCTGGCTCCTCCCACATATCTTTATACAACCTAACCCTACAAATACCCGGCATGGAGGGGCTGAGTGAAGGTGGTGGTGAAGGTGTGGAGGTGTCGGATCGGGTCACACAGATCATAGAAGGAGATCCGCCCGGCCTCATAATCCAGATCTATCCTGACTCTGGTACTGGAGACACCGCCGGGGAATGGGGTCTTCTTACTGTCATGTGTCACTGAGCACTGATTACCCCTCAACCCCAACCTCTCCAACCCCAGGACTTCTTATTATCTCCAATCCGTGAGTGATCTCCTCTCCTGTCTATATTGGGGGTAACACATCCCGACTCTCCAGTACTCTGACCCCCCAACATCCACTTCCCAATAATGTCTCCCGGAGGAGAAGCTCTGACTGCTCATCACCTGAGAACCCTGGAACCTCTCTGGTGTTTCTGGCCGATTCTGATGTGAATATGACCTGGATGCAGTTTTCCCCGTCATCTGATATATGTAGAAGATTACTAGCTGTCCTCACATCCAGTAATATGTCTGTAACCCCCGACACCCCCCATGTTTGCTGTACAGCCCCAATATTTGGTCCTCCAGTGGGGGAGGGTTGGGGGTCTGGCCTGGATGGTGGACCATTGATGGGACCTTCGCCCTTTGTAGTAGAATGTGGAGAGAGACATGTGTGCCTGTACATTTCTGTACATTGACCCCAGACATGATATCAGATAAACCCGTGTGTAATGTGTGTGAGATCCCCCCCACATCCCCATCCCCTCCATCATGGAGGAGGTTCTCATGTCTCTCTCTGTCCTCAACTCCATCCTCAGTATAACACAAGTCACCTGTGTCCTGATTCCTGTAGGACAGTCAGTGGATCCGTCATGTTACACAGCTCCTCAATGTCCCTCATCTTCCTGGACAGCTCCTCCTTCTTTATTTCCAGATCCCGAATATAATCCAACATGGGACAGGAGACCCGCTCTGCCCACCCGGAGATGTCCCTCAGGACTCTCTTCTCCAGGTCTTCCAGACGTCTCCTGAGGTCTCTGAACAGGGCAGTGACTCTCTTGGTCTCATCATCTGCTTTTCCTTGTACTTTCCTCCTGCATTCCTGCAGACTCTGGACTCTTTTCTCCATCTTCTCTCTCTCTGTCATCAGTTTCTGCAGAACATTCCTCAGTTTCTTCTTCTTCATCTCAGAGGCCTCCTCCAGAGTCTCCACCTGGTGTCCCCGATGTTCTCCATCCAGCCTGCAGGACACACAGATACAGGTGGAGTCCTCAATGCAGTAATACTCCAGGATCTTCTTATGGATGGAGCATTTCCTGTCCTTCAGGGAAGTGGTGGGGTCACATAGGACGTGTTCTGGTGACTTGCTGTGGACTCTCAGGTGGTTGTCACACAGAGAAGCTTCACACAGCAGACAGGATTTCACAGCCGGTACAGGAGTGTGAATACAGTGAGTACAGAAGACCCCGGACTCCTCCTGCTCTGGATGGGTAGACTGGAAGTTCTCCACTATGTTACGTAGTGTTATGTTCCTCCTCATGCAGGACGTTCCTGGAACTCTTCTCTGCATTCAGGACAGGAATAACCTCCAGACCCCTCCTGTGTATCCAACACACACGGCCAATACAGTCCCGGCAGAAGTTGTGTCCACATCTCAGGGTTACAGGATCTGTATAAATGTTCAGACAGATGGAACATTCCAGCTCCTTCCTCAGATCAGAAGACGCCATCGCTGAGAGCAGAAGACAGAATGACGGGGAAAGTTTCTGACACTCCGTATCCAATGTGACCCGTTCTGTACACTCCTACAGGGGGGGAGGTGTACATTCCTACACAGGGAGAGGCTGGGACTGAGACACGTAGCTAGAAGAATTCTTGTACAGAAGGACACAGACATGTAATAAGTAGTGACGGGTCCAACACCCCCCTGTTCGGTTCGCGGTCCAACATTCCAACTTGACGAAAGTTCAACTGCAAACTTCGAACTCAATGCAAGTCTATGGGACTGGAACTTGTAAATGGAAAAGTGTCCATTCTGAAGGCTTTTATGCCACTTATTGGCCCCAGAAGTGGTATGGGGACTCGGGGACGGCCCTGAGGGACAGGAATCGGTGGATATTTCTTAAAAAGTACCATTTTTTTCATTGCTTAATGTAAAAAAACTAAAAATGTTATTATGCCTGGGGGGGTCCCCATAAACTCCCTGCAAAGTTGCACATCTGTACAATGTATAGGACCTGCTGCAGCACGACTGACATTTATATTAAAAAAAAAAGTGTGGGGTCCCCCCTAAAAGCCATGCCATGGCCCTTTAAGCCTGGTAGGACTTCTAAGGTGAACCCCCCCCCAAAAAATAAGGAGAAATAGTGTGGGGTCCCTCCTATCTACCAGACCCTTGACTCTGAGCACATGCCTGGAAGGCCAGGAAAGGAGGGGGGGGGGGGTTTGAACAAGCGGCCCTCCCCTCCCTGGGCCTTACCAGGCCACATGTCTTCGGCACGGGGACAAGGGCCTCTTCCCCACAACCCTGGCCCAGTGGTTGTGGGGGTATGCGGGCAGGGGGGCTCAGCATCAGGGTACCTCTTTAAACAAGGGGGCACCCTGATGCTGCCCCCCCTTGTGAATAAGTAAGGGGGTACAAAATAAATAAAATTGGCCTTGGGTGTTGGTGGTGCCTGAACACTGTAACCCCTCACAGTCACTCTTGCTGGGCGCAGGCAGGGGCCCCGCAGTTAAAAATTCGGAACAATTACAGAAAAATGGTAAACAAACATTGAAATGACATGCAGCTGTGAAACGGGGGCCAAAAATTGTGCCTTGAGTGTTGGTGGGGCCCTAAACCAAACCGTTGGAAGCGCCCATAATCAGGACTGAGGAATAAGGATAGGCAGCATAGGCAGTCTTCAAGGGATCCCAGATCCCTAACAAATGGAATCAGTTACATCAGCATCAGGGACAAGATAGTTGCTGTTGATCCAGGACTGATTCATGTTGATTGTCAATGTCAGCGGAGTCTGTGGACAGACGCACTCTTTTATCCGTCACACAACCTCCAGCAGCACTGAATGTCCGTTCGGAAAGCACGCTGGGTGCAGGACAGGTCAGAAACTCGATGGCATATTGAGCGAGTTCTGGCCAGTGATCCATCCTCCAGACTCAGTAAACCCAGTGGATGCGTTGTTCAGTTGGGAAGGTCTCCAAGTCTGTCCTTGCCCCTAGATAATCCTGCACCATATGATGCAGACCCTGCCGATGGTGCTTAAAACCTAACATCCCTGGGCACTGAGGACTAAAGAAACTGTTTGAAGGCATCAGCCAGCCGGCCACCTTCTCCATCGCTCTTCCTTTGACAGAACGAAGCCTCAGAAACACGTTGTCCAGGAAATGGTAACCTCCCAGTGTCTGGAAAGGTGCTACATAAATGTTTTTTTTTCAAGGCGTCCTCAAGATGTTTCGTCCTCTGTTCCCTCTGTGAAGGCTGGATGAGCTCTGCAACTTCACCCTTGTAACGTGGATCAAGAAGGGTTGCCAACCAGTACTGATCCCTCTCCTTGATACCTCGAATCCTCGGGCCCTTACGCAGGTTTTGCAGAGTCAGGAGCCCATACAGCTCTGTAAGTTTGAGGAGGCCGGAGATTCTGAGTCCTCTGGGTGACACTGAGGATGACATTGTCAGGAACTACCTCCTCCCAGCCATGTACTACTCCTGGTTGGGGTTTCTGGAGACTGAAAACCACCCCTTGAAGACTGCTGTATGTGATCCTCTACTTCCATGCTGCTGCAATCCTCCTCCTTCTCTTCCTCCTCCTGCTGTGTGTTTTGTGGCCCCTCAGGAATGATTTCTGCATAAAGGGGGCCTTGAGAGGACAGGAAATCCTCCTCTTCCTCCTCTGTTCTTCCTCAAGTGCCCCTGTCCATGATTCCACGCAGCGTGTGCTCCAGCAGGAAGACTAGAGGGATAATGTCACTAATGCATGCATTGTCACGGCTCACCATCCCTGTGGCCCCTCAGTTGGTGACAGGACAGGCATGCATCCTTTATCAGCAGCCAAGTTCCCCTGAGCCTGTCCTTGTGCCATATTCACACAGGTACTCATTGTTGGCCCTCTGCTGTGTGTGCAGCCGCTGCAGCATTGCCAATGTTGAGTTCCACCTGGTGGACATGTCACAAATGAGGTGGTTGGTGGGCAGGTTGAATTCCCGTCAAATGTCAGCCAGCCAAAACACTGGCCGTTGTACGACTGCCAGAAATGGCCACAGACCTTTTTGAAGATCTTGAAAGCCTGGATGCCTGTTCAAGAAACACTGCACCACCAAATTCAGGACGTGTGCCATGCATGGAACATGTGCCAAGTGTCCCTGTTGGAGGGAGGAGAGAAGGGTGGTGCCATAGTCACACACAACCAATCATGGCTCAGTCTTCTGTGGTGTCAACCCCCTCTGAGCCGCCCCTGCAGAGCTGACAGAATCTCTGGCCCGGTGTGTGGCTCCTGTCCCCTAGACAGACCAGCTGAAGCACCGCGTGGCATCTCTTAGCCTGACTGCTTGTGTAGCCCCTTGAATGCTTACGGAGCACTGCTGGTTCAGAGGACAATTCAGCAGAAGAGGCCATAGAGGAAGAGGAGGGGGTGGGGCAGACAGATGTGGCAGAATCACCACTAGATTTTTGGAGGCGTGGTGGTGTGGAACAAGCTCCAGCACTGAACCCTGTCCTGCATCCTTCCCAGCTGCTAGCAGAGTCACCCAGTGTGCCTGAAGGATATGTAACGTCCCTGACCACGCCTGCTGGACCACGTGTCAGTAATGTGGACCTTGCTGCTGACCGCCCTGTCCAACGAGGCCAATACATTGCCTTCCACATGATGGTACAGAGCTGGAATGGACTTACGTGATAAGAATTGTCTTTTCGGAACCTGTCACTGTGGTACAGAACATTCTGCAAATTCACGGAAGGGGGGCGGAGTCCACCAGATGGAAAGGCAGACGTTGTAATGCAGCAATTTGGCCAGGTTAGTATTTAGATGCTGAGCACGTGGATGGGCGGGACATGTGGATGGGTGGGACATGTGGATGGGTGGGGACATGTGGATGTGTGGGACATGTGGATGGGTGGGACATGTGGATGGTGGGGACATGTGGATGGGCGGGACATGTGGACGGGCGGGGACATGTGGACGGGTGGGACATGTGTGGGACATGTGGATGTGTGGGACATGTGGATGGGCGGGACATGTGGACGGGCGGGACATGTGGATGGGTGGGACAGAAGTTTTTTTCCACGGTTCAGCAAATGGGGGAGTGAAATGTTCCTGCTGAAATGATCAGGTGGTGTACTGCTATCAGATGGGGTGCAGGACCTGTGGCCCCCATTGCTGTACCATCACTCCTCTCAGTGGAGGCTGTTGAGAAGACCGGATGTATTACAGAGGAGGTAGAGATCCCAGATGAGGGATCTCTATTGTATGTACTGTTATCTGTGGGTGGTTTGGTTCGTTTGCACACATGCGTTTTGTATTGTTAGTGTTAATAAATTACATTGTTTATAACATATCTGAAGCCTGCGTTTCCCTGCGTCAGTCACATACCTCTGGTCACACCCAGTTCACATACCTGGTCAGGCAGGCCGGGTCAATAACAATCGGGCAGGTAGGTACAGTGGGTCAGGCAGAGAGTGGTCGGGGTCACAAGCCAGGGATCAAACAGGAGAAGTCAGCAGAGAGGTCCGGATCAGGCAGGGTCAGCAACGAATCAGTCAGAGACAGGAACAGGAACAGGGGCCCATAGAAAAGCACACACCAAGGCACAGACTGCAGGTCTGGCCATCCCTTAAATACACCTGCATAATCAGCTTCAGGTGTTTGGCTGACTACAGGGTTGAGTCTCTGATTGCTGAGAGCACCCGCTGGCCAGCCCTGGTACTGCAGCCCACAAGGCAGGTGAGTCCCACCATTACTGGCAAGTCCATTCCTGACACGCCCTTTCCACATACATGACCTTTACTGGCCCCACAGTCTTAGTCCGTAGGGTTCAATATTGAGTTGGCCCCGCCCTTTCCACACACATGACCTTTAATAGCCCCCCAGTCTTAGTCCATAGGGTTCAATATTGAGTTGGCCCCGCCCTTTCCACACACATGACCTTTAATGGCCCCCCAGTCTTAGTCCATAGGGTTCAATATTGAGTTGGCCCCGCCCTTTGCAGCTATAACAGCTTCAACTCTTCTGGGAAGGCCGTCCACAAGGTTTAGGAGGGTGTCTATGGGAAGGTTGGACCATTCTTCCAGAAGCACATTTGTCAGGTCAGGCACTGATGTCGGGGGAGGAGGCACTGATGTCGGGGGAGGGGGCCTGGCTCGCAGTCTCCGCTCTAATTCATCCCAAAGGTGTTCTATGGGGTTGAGGTCAGGACTCTGTGCGTCCTGTTCCTCCACCCCAAACTGGCTCCTCCATGTCTTTATGGACCTTGCTTTGTGCACTGGTGCGCAGTCATGTTGTAACAGGAAGGAGCCATCCCCAAACTCCTCCCACAAAGTTGGGAGCATGAAATTGTCCAAAATGTCACCTTAAGAGTTCCCTTCACTGGAACTAGGGGGCCAAGCCCAACCCCTGAAAAACAACCCCACACCATGATCCCTCCTCCACCAAACGTTACACTTGGCACAATGCAGTCTGGCAAGTACCGTTCTCCTGGCAACCGCCAAACCCAGACATGTCCATCAGATGGCCAGACAGTCCAGTGGCGGCGTGCTTTACACCACGGCATCCGACGCTTTGCATTGCACTTGGTGATGGAAGGCTTGGATGCAGCTGCTCGGCCATGGAAACCCATTCCATGAAGCTCTCTACGCACTGTTGTTGGGCTCATCTGAAGGCCACACCAAGTTTGGAGGTCTTTAGCTATTGACTCTGCAGACAGTTGGTGACTTCTGCGCACTGTGCGCTTCACCATGCGCTGACCCCGCCCTGTCATGTGACGTGGCCTACCACTTGGTGGCTGAGTGGCTGTTGTTCCCAGTTGCTTCCACTTTGTTATAATCCCACTAACAGTTGAGCGTGGAATATTTAGTAGCCAAGAAATGTCACGGATGGACTTATTGCCAAGGTGGCCACCTATCACGGGACCACGCTTGGAGTCACTGAGCTCCTGAGAGCGACCCATTCTTTCACCAATGTTTGTAGAAGCCGCCTGAATGCCTAGGGGCTTGATTGTATACACCTGTGTCCATGGAGGGGATTGGAACACCTGAATCACATGATATGGAGGGGATTGGGACACCTGAATCACATGATATGGAGGGGATTGGAACACCTGAATCACATGATATGGAGGGGATTGGAACACCTGAATCACATGATATGGAGGGGATTGGAGCACCTGAATCACATGATATGGAGGGGATTGGAGCACCTGAATCACATGATATGGAGGGGATTGGAGCACCTGAATCACATGATATGGAAGGGATTGGAACACCTGAATCACATGATTGGGAGGGGATTGGAACACTTGAATCACATGATATGGAGGGGATTGGAACACCTGAATCACATGATATGGAGGGGATTGGAACACCTGAATCACATGATATGGAGGGGATTGGAGCACCTGAATCACATGATATGGAGGGGATTGGAGCACCTGAATCACATGATATGGAGGGGATTGGAGCACCTGAATCACATGATATGGAAGGGATTGGAACACCTGAATCACATGATTGGGAGGGGATTGGAACACTTGAATCACATGATATGGAGGGGATTGGAACACCTGAATCACATGATATGGAGGGGGCGGGGACAATACTTTGGGCAATATCGTGTATTATACTTTGGATTACCTCCAAGCCTGCAGGTGTGCCGAGCATTCTGGGTTATTTCTTGTCATGGAAATCCCGTGTGCAGCTCAGCAATCACCTCCTGACCACAGACAGTGATATCGTCACCCGGAATTCCCCACCACACAATTCTCAATACACAACCACACCAACCTCTCCTCCTCTGTACTATGGAGGAACTCCGCACTTCCCAGCAATCCTTCTATACGGCTGTATGAGGTCATTACAGTCCATTTCCCTCCAATCCCTGCAAGACACCCCGTGTGATATCTGAGCAAAGCGTTCTGTGTACAGCGCTGTGGTATATGTCAGAGCTATGGAAAGGTATAATAATAATAGTGTGGGGGGGGGGGGGGGGGTCAGGTCATGTGAGGTGAATGGCTCAGCGTCCTCTGTACATTGTGTTCTCCTCCATATCGCCTCATAGTATAACGTCTTGTATACAGGAAGGGGGGGGGGGGGGGGGAGGAGTGTAGGGAAGTGAAATGAGGAAATCCAGGTCAGGTCAGCAGGTGATGTTCCATTGGGGCCGCTCCCTCCTCCTCAGTTATAAGAGGAGCATCACATCACTCTCTTCATTTCCTATCACTGTTGGAGTCAGAAGGGAGGACCTGGTCTTCTGCATCATTCTGAAACTGTCCCTGTCACCCTACGGTGTGGTCACAGCTTCTACTAGGAGTCTACAAGTAAGACGTGGTTCATCCATACAGAAGGACAATACTGCTGTCCTAATTGCAAGCAAACATTCCAAAAAGGACCAACTGTTCAGAAGAACCCAGAACTGAGAGTCAGAATGGAGTCCTTCATCTCTGGACACCTCGAGGACCCAGCTGGCACAATGAGCTCTGGTAATTAGAAGACTCTGGATGGCTCCCAGAATGTAGACTGTGTCTCCTGTGGTAATGTGGCTGAACATCAGCAGCAATCAGAGATCCTGAAGGTGGCGTTGGAGAAGAAGAAGATATGGAGACAGATCCTCCAGAAAATTATTTGCTGCAGAGAAGTGACTGAGAACAGGATCCTTCATCTCCAGGAGCGTAAGAGAGAGGTGACTCAGGAATCGGCAATGGAGACAGAGTTTCCACACTACTCAGAGACCTCAGGAGACAGATGGACATCCTGGAGACACAAGTCTTGGCCGAGATCTTCCAGCAGGAGGAGAAGATCTCACTGCCAATTTCTCATCTCCTCAGTAAGCTGGAGGTGAAGAAAGAGGACATGTCTGGAAATATCCAACACCTAGAAGATGTGTCATGCGACCAATCCGATGATGGAGCTACAGAGGCCGGAGATGGACAATGATGACTTTGTCCAGGTTATCAATGGAGCATAGCTGGAAGAGGAGGACATCTTGTCTTCTGCAGGAGATATTGATCCCGTAATTTTTTTTCTGCTCTTACAGAAGGGTTTGGAGAAATCTTTTGTTGATTTCCAGGCACAGAAAGCATTCTAGGTCCAAAAGACATCCTACATGTTTCTGGATGAGAATACGGCTGGACCTTCCATAATGCTTTCCGGAGACACAAAGAAAGCAACCTGTATCCAGAAGACACTACCGCCGTGCCTGGACATGACTCTCCATTGTATGAATGACCAGGTCCTGGGTAACAGGATGTTCTCATCTGGCAGACATCTGAGAAGTGAAGATTAAACCATTATCAGATTTCAGTATGGGCGTGGCCTATCCCAGCATTGAGCGGGAAGGTCGGTTCCCTGCACTAGGGTTCAATAATAAATCCTGGGTTCTGTCCAAGAGCCGAGGGACTTACTATGCCACTCACAATCCCAAGGAGATTGATCTGAAATATTCTCTGAGCGCATGGAGCTTTGGGGTGTATCTGGACATTGAGGCCAGGCAACTGTCCTTCTGTGAGCTATGTGACCCTATTAGGCACCTCCACACCTTCATTGAGCCCCTCCAGGCTGGATTCCACCTCTTCAATCCTGGAGAATGAGTGACCAATAGCAACCAGAGTTCTCTGTGGTTGCTCTGGGTTGCATCTGGAGAAATACCTTGCTCCGGGAATCGGGGCTCAGGTCTCTGATTGCTGTACCAGGATATAGACAGAGACCTCGGCTCCGGGAATCGGGGCTCAGGTCTCTGATTGCTGTACCAGGATATAGACAGAGACCTCGGCTCCGGGAATCGGGGCTCAGGTCTCTGATTGCTGTACCAGGATATAGACAGAGACCTCGGCTCCGGGAATCGGGGCTCAGGTCTCTGATTGCTGTACCAGGATATAGACAGAGACCTCGGCTCCGGGAATCGGGGCTCAGGTCTCTGATTGCTGTACCAGGATATAGCCAGAGACCTTGCACCGGGAATTTGGGTTCAGGTCTCTGATTGCTGTACCAGGATATGGACAGAGACCTCGGCTCTGGGAATATGAATTCAGGTCTCTGATTGTTGTTGTCATGTACCTGATGGGAGACTGAAATGACGAGGTTGGCGTCACTTATGTCACTAGCCCTGACCCCACTGGAGTTGGAACAGAAGGAGTCTAGGACCCAGGGGAACAAGAGCGCCAGTAGTTGTTGTTTGCAGCTCTTGCAGATGATGACTCTGGAAGACCGATGATCTTCTGATTCAGGCACAGTAGTAACAAGCAGAGCAGGTCTTGTAGATTGCCAGGCGTGCACCAGAGCAAGGCAGGTAGTGAGGGTAAGAGACCGGAGCAGTGTCATGGGAATAGCCGGGGTCATCAACAGTTGGGCAGCACGGTACGGAATCAGAAGGAAAGCCAAGGTCAGGAGCAGAGCCGACGTCAGGAACCAGAATCAGGAGAGCAATCAGAGTCAGGTGAGGAACAAGCTGGGTCAGCAACAAAGGGATCACACAGGAACAGCAGGACATGGGGGAGCTGAAGACCAGTCAGCACTCAGCACAGGCAGAGGCACTTTTTAAATAGTCCGTCTGGCGCCAATCTTCACCGTGCGTGATCGTGCATTTCTGTGCGCATGCGTACGTCTATTCACCAGCCGTCTCACGGGAATTCCCTTACAGCTGTACCAGGATATGGACAGAGATCTCGGCTCTGTGAATTTGGGTTCAGGTCTCTGATTGCTGTACCAGGATATAGACAAGAGACCTCGGCTCTGGGAATTTGGGTTCAGGTCTCTGACTGCTGTACCAGGATATGGACAGAGACCTCGGCTCTGGGAATTTGGGTTCAGGTCTCTGACTGCTGTACCAGGATATGGACAGAGACCTCGGCTCTGTGAATTTGGGTTCAGGTCTCTGACTGCTGTACCAGGATATGGACAGAGACCTCGGCTCTGGGAATTTGGGTTCAGGTCTCTGACTGCTGTGTCAGGTGTGACAGTGTGGTGATCTGTCAGGAGGTAAAAAGGATATTTCACCCAGGATTCTCAACAAGGCAGGTTAAGGGGCTCCAGAGGGTTTGCTTAATGCAGAGGAAACTGGCTCTTCAGATTCCTCATTTGTTTGTAAAGTCCATTTTGGGACCTGGAGCCTGAAGATATCAAAGTGATTTGGGAGGGATGAAATATTCAATCCTGGGACCAGGTTTTGGGAATTTCCAGGACAATGATTGGTCAGGTGTGTGTGGGTCTCTTCTAGAGTCAGGGTTCTGGGCGCCACCCTCCCGAGGAGTCTGTGGGTGCAAGGGCGCAGCCATAAGTGTGCACGGTGGCACAGAGTAGTCTGACAGAGCAGACAGGGCCCAAGCCTGTGGAGAAGCAGGAATGCTGTGAAAGGGCTCTAACCAAGGTACAGCGTTTGTATGTGAATGGTCAATAGGACCGAGGCATGAAGCCTGAGCAGCGGTGCTGCTAAAGACAGCCAGGAGGATGAATCTTTTTTTTTTTTGCTTTATCATTGATGGTGGAAACCCCTGCGTGGGAAGCCTATATTCTATGGAACTTTCTTTTAAGTAAAATTGGGTAAAACCGTCTGTTAGGAATGGACTTGCCAGTAATGGTGGGACTCACCTGCCTTGTGGGCTGCAGTACCAGGGCTGGCCAGCGGGTGCTCCCAGCAATCAGAGACTCAACCCTGCAGCCAGCCAAACACCTGAAACTGCTTAGGCAGGTGTATTTAAGGGATGGCCAGACCTGCAGACTCTGCCTTGGTGTGTGTTTTTCCTGGGCCCTGTATCTTTTTCCTGCATCCCTGTTCCTGTCTCTGTCTGATTTGTTGCTGACCCTGCCTGATCCGGACCTCTGCTGACTTCTCCTGCTTTATCCCTGGCTTGTGACCCCGACCATTCTCTGCCTGACCCCCCTGTACCTACCTGCCCGATTGTTATTGACCCGGCCTGCCTGACGACGCTTGCATTGTATGTATTATCTGTGGGTGGTTTGGTTCGTTTGCACTGTGTTATGTTTTAGTATTGCACTGCGTTTATGTTTGTATTGTTAGTCTTTAATAAATTATATTGTTTATAACTTATCTGAAGCCTGCGTTTCCCTGCGTCAGTCACATACCTCTGGTCATACCCGGGAGCCCTGACACCGTCCCTTAAAAAGAAGAAAGCGAGTGGCTGTGTGCTGTAAAGCTCTACCCCTGATGCTAGTTCTCACATATGGTGGAGGAGGATGCGGGCAGGACTAGAGATCCCAGAAATGAAGTGCGGTCATTTGTTATATGAACTGTGTTTGGTGAGTCTGCACTATCAGTAAGTGCCGGTGAGGAGAACCTGCCAGAGAAAAGGGACTTACCTTAAAGAGACAGCGCTCCATTGTGTTCCTGAACTGTGTAACAATCCGCTGTGTGAGTGACTGCAAGGATGGGGCGGTCAAAGCAGAAAATGGAGGCAATCCTTGCTGAAGCAAGGGAAAGGCTACTACGGCTAGAGGGTTACATATCACATGTCCCAGCCAAGCCAGGACATTCATATGTGTGAATCTGCTGTGGACTGGTGCAAGAGGCCCCTGGCAGCATTGAGCCAACCTACAGAGGAAAACAAGCCAACCTTCAGGGCAAGGAGAGAGCTGCAGGATGTCC